AGAATTAAAATAAAAAAATCTATCAATTTTAAATAGATAGTTATTGAGATACTTTCGTTCGAAGTTTGAAAATTTTCATTATAGCTAGAATACTTGGACAATTGCTGTATGATGATCGGCAGCATGCATAACCTGGCACAGAAAGTTGGGGTGCAATATTTTAGGGTGGGGTTGAGCATGTATTATATCAATACCTTACGTTACACAAAGAAAATTAGTATAATCAGATTCTTTTTAGATTGCCAATTATATTGGATCTTTTGTGTGGGAGAGGAGCCCTCAAACTTGTACAGCGACCTCCCCAAAATTTTCTGCACTCCACTAATACTCAAATTTTTGTAATTACAGTACGTTATGATGATGATACTTGTTAATTAAACAAAATTTGATTAATATTTGAATTGTAATAAGAAAAATTTATTGTTATTCAAGTTTACAATGTCAAATTGCTGGCATTGTAAACTTGAATAACAAAATTTTCTTATTACAATTCAAATATCAATCGAATTTTATTTAATTAATAAGCATCATCAAAAAAATTAATAACGTAATTACAAAAAATCAGAGTATTAGCGGATTGCAGAAAATTTTGGAGAGGTCGCTGTATAAGTTGGAGCCCTCATAGTAAATGAATATTACATAATACAGTATTTGTCACAGCTCTAAACATGAATCATCCGGCAAACTTAATATAGAGATTCTGATTAAAAAAATTGTTCTAACAAAAAGTCAGTGATGACTGGCCCTAGCTTTTTTTATGATAGGCCTCAGTTTATTATTTTTCTAATGTTAAACTAAATTTGTAAGGATGGATCAGTCTTCGTAAAGACCAGGATCAGACGGTAAAAGACTAAGGACCAAATAATTCTCAGTCCTTGGTCCGGAATCATTTGGTTCTTGGTCCTGATTATGGTCTAATGATGACTAATACTGCTGATAAAAGTGTTAATAAATTAATTTTGATAACAACGATGACTAATACTACTGATAAAAGTGTTGATAAATTAATATAAAAAAAACAATGCAAATAATAATTATAATAATAATAAAACTTATAACTCTTCCTTGCCATGAATGATTTCTTGCATCCATCTTCTAATATTTCTCAGTGTGATGAAATAAGTGATGAAGTTCCAATTTCTATTAAAATAAATGTTAATGATTCGAATCTTAATAAAATTGCTGACCAAAAAATGAAAAAATACTATAAATCAATGGTTTGGCCATATTTTAATCTTGATGATTCGGACAGTCCTATATGTAAGAAATATAATACCAAGTTTGCATCTGATACTGCAACATCAACCTTAAGAAGGCATTTAAGTTTACATAGAATAATTGTACCTACACAAGGGCAAATAATTAAGAATAAGTAAGAACAAAATTAATCATTAATCAGATAGTTTTTTTTAAAAAAAAGTCTAATCTACAAATTTTGTAAATAGATCTAATGATGATTTTCATAATGAGTATGAGCAAAAAGAGCGAGATAAAGCTATTCTTCGCTAGATAATTTGTGATTTAGAACCATTTAATACTGTTGAAAGTGATAAGTGGTAACAAATGATTTCTAAACTTGATCCAAAGTATAGGTTTTGTAATCATCATACTATAAACAATTGCATTATAACACTTTATTAGAAAAAAAAAGAGGAAATAAAATTAGTAATTAGTAAAATTCCTGGAAAGGTTGCCTTTATAGCTGATATGTAGACAGCATTAAATGAGACTTTTTTTCTTAGCCTAACTATCTATTATGTTGATGCTTCTTGGAGATTATGTAATTTTCTTCTTGATATAATCACATTATACTGGTTCTAATATGGCAGGTGCTATTATGTCAATCCTTTATAAATTTGATTTAGCTACAAAAGCTCTTGCATTGACAACTGATAATGCAGCATTAATAATTTCATGTAGTGCATTGATAATAGTTGAATTAGAAGAAGAATTTAATAATTTAAATTTTGCACATTATCAGTACTTCACACATGTGTTAAATTTAGCAGTTATCAAAGGGATTGAATTAATTGATGCATCAATTAAAAAAATAAGATCACTTATAAACTATCTTAAGTCTTCTCAACCTGTGAATGAGGCTTTAAAATGTTTATATAAAGCAAAAAATGTAAAGTATTTAAAACCTGAATTGGATGTAAAGACACGATGGAATTCTGTCTTCTATATGTTAGAAAAATGGAAAAAGCTAGAGTCTGTTTTAAAGCTGCTTTCTATTGATAATCCAGCTGTTAATCAATGATATCCTACTAAGAAGATTGTGTAAAAATTAATGACACAATGCTTCTTTTAGAACCATTTGAATGGGCTACTCGCTACCTTTCAGCATCACGATATCCAACACATGGGGCTGTTCGTTTTGTTTTTCTTGGAATTCAAGAACATTTATTACGATATATAAATATGGAAGAATTTACACAATCCATAATGGCAAGCACGATCTATCAAAAACTGAATAAATATTGGTCAATTATGGATGAAGCATCACAAATATCAGCTTTACTTGACCCAAGTATTAAATTAACTGCATTTAATTGTGAAATTGAAAAAAATCAAGTAAAACAAATAATTTTAAATCTTTCAGGATATACTAATACATTTAAGTCATTACATTTATCAGTAAATACTGCAGCTTATGATCTAATTAATGCATGAAATTATTTTCAATCATTATGAAGTAACAGTGCAACTTTACCAACTTCATTGAATTTACCTGTTACATCTGCTTCTACTTATACTTCTTCGATTTCCTCTGTTTCTTCATTATCTTCCACATATACTACCACTTCTCTTTCTTCTATTTCACCTATTTCTTCTGTTCCATTTACTTCATCTATTTCTTCTACCTTTACTACTTCTATTCCTTCTATTCACTCTAATTCTATTCCTACTTTTCTTACCTCTGTCCCTCCTATTTCTTCAACCTTTAATATCTTTGCCCCCACTTATTCTGCAAATGAACAATCGGGTAATCTATAAACAGGACTAGAAAAATATCTGCTATTACCATTAGAAGATAATTCAAACCTGTTGGTGTGGTGGCAAGCACAGAAAGAATACCCAATTTTAAGTTTAATCGCAAGAGATTATCTGACTATACAAGCTACCAGTGTAGCCTCAGAACAAGCATTCTCTATAGCAGGTCTCACTATTTCAGCAACAAGAGCTAGATTAGAAGATGAATCTGCAAGAGCGATTCTATGTTTAAAGAGTTGGCTTCAGAAAGGAATTTGCAAAATGGATAGTTAAATATCCCTATGCTCAATTTTTATGTTAAATTAGCTTCATATATAAAATACATATTCATATTTACGTTGATGTATTTTTTATAATATAAATTTAACGTGCACTGTATTTTTTATAATATAAATTTTATTTGCGCTGTATTTTCATAATATAAATTTAATGTGCTGTATTTTTTATAATAAGATTTTTAAAAATTTGGTCGCTAATAAATAAAAACTTTAATGTTGCTGTATTTTTTATAATAAAATTTAATGTGCACATATTTTTTTATAATATAAATTTAATTTGCACTGTATTTTTATAATATGAATTTAATTTGCTGTATTTTTATAATAAGATTTTAAAAATTTGGCCGTTAATAAATAAAAATTTTAATGTTATGCGTTGAAAAATTTTAAGTCATGGGACCGATTATAGGACCGAAAAGACGGACCGACCGGACTAAAAAACATTATAAAATCGGTCTAATAGGGACTGAGACCGACCGGGACGGACTGATCCATCCCTATAAATTTGTATTTTTTCTAAATTATTATTAATTTTTTAAAATAAAAGAATTTAAAGTTTAGTGATAGTTATTAACTATTCTGAATTACGTTAATTAGTGTAATTACAGAAAGTGCATCTATGAAAGTGCATTTATCGAGAGTTGATTGTATATAGTATACAAAATTTTTTTTCTAGATGAAAAATTCTTATAAAAGGACAATGAATGAAGCCAACTTATAAATAAATTTTCTACTAATTAAGTAACAAATTACCCAATAATTAAGAAAATTTTCTTCAATAATTAAAAAAAATTACCTAAGTTAAATATCATATCTACGAAGAAACAATGAACCAAAAATCTATTTTTTTATTTATTTTATTGATACCACTCGATAAAAGAGAAACTCAATTTCAAGATTGTAGTGATGGTAATTTTGCGAGTGCGAAATTAATCCATGTAGCAATGTCACCTGATCCACTAGTTTCTCAACAGAGTGTTACTTTTACTGTTTCTGGATCTCTAGACTATGATATAAAAGACAATGGACTGATTGTAGCTCAATTAGATGGTGAAGGCAATACTAACATAGACCGTTTTGCGAGTCCTGCTAAATCAACTAAAGCTGGTCAACCATTTAGTATGACAACACGACAACATACTCTACCAGATATTCCACTCAACTACCGTATTACAGTTTTTATTGTGAATCCGACTCCTCAGCATAACAATACTAGAGACATTATAGGTTGTGCAACAGCAAAAGTTGGTCAGTAAAACTTCAAATAGTGAAAATTTCGATTAACTTATTCAATTTTTTATATTACAAATCAATATATTACTAGCATAGTTTACATTGTATACGCAACGTGTTAAAATACTTTAAATATTGTTTATTTTTATTTTAATTTACTAGGAATGTTATTACATTCGTAACAGTTATTATATTTATACTAATGCGTGTTGTTCTGGATTTCATGCCAAAATGCAAACATAAAAAAACATTTATTAAATAATTAAAAAATCTCTCAACTTTATAAATGGAATATTATAATTCAATTTCAACACAATAAAAAAGCTTGATCATAATTTTTTAACACAATAAAAAAGCTCAATTATAATCGCGGAACATAAATTTGCAAAATTTGTATTTATTATTTGTTACTATCCGTAATACAAACCAAAAAAGGGGTCTAAAGCAAGTGCGTTCACGTGACTAAAGCCAATCAAAATATAAATTTTGATTAACCCGGATCAGCCAACGAAACAAAAACAAAGAAAAAAAAGTGAAAAACGAGAAACGAGTGTCTAAACCTGTCTTGAAGCACTAATTAAAATGTCGGGAAGCAATTTTACCTATAAGAACTGCTCCGACCACTAACCTCTAACTAACCCTTACCCTAATTTTAATTAAATAATCAAAAACATATGAACGCACTAGGCTTTAGCCATCCCCCCAAAAGGGAATATTTATAGATCGAAAGATCAGGTATACGGTGATTAAATTTGTCGATGTTTTCAAACGATTGTTAATAACTTAAAATTTTGCCTAAAAAACTACCTTTTATGGCCTAATAAAAAAATTCCTTGCAAAATTTTGGCATAGTCTTTGTTATACCTGACCCTAAAATTACTCTAATCATAGCTCTGAAGTCAAAGCAAATTTTACAAATTATCAATATTTACTATATGATTTGTATTATAGTGAGAAATACGTAAATCATCCATTTGAAGCGAAAAATTACTAAAAAAAGGTTATTTTCTGTTTCACGTATTTTATAATATACTATACGCTCTTGCTCTTGATCTTGTTCCTGCTTTTTCTTGAGCAGAGTAGAGCAGCTAAATGCAGAGCAGTAAAAAAAAGTTAAGACATGCTAATTTTTTATTTTTTGTGAAAAAATTACAGTAATATATTATTAAATATCTACTTTAACTTGCTAATAGTTAATTATTGTGACATCTCGTTACAATTTAGTTAGAATCAATGAATTTTGCAGAATTTTTTTTTTGTATATAATAATTATTTGTAATTGTTGGTTGTTTATAGCAATATGGGTTCGAGATTCGGATCCGATCTGCAAATCCATTCCTGCAGATCTGAATCCAAAGAGGGCATCCTTATGTTATGGGATGCCGTGAACGAAGTCACGAGGCATCCATTTGTCACGAGACATGACCCAGGTCCATGTCATAGGGAAGTATGATGTATTAGTGACGAGATGAATAATGATGTTGAAGTGTAAGTAATTATGGGACACTTAAAGAACAATGAACCCAGTGATCATCACATCATGTAAAATCGCATACCGTAAATGTGTACAAGGTTATGTCAATCACCGAATCGAAAAAACTTAAGAGCAAATTTTAATTTACTTTAT